TTAGATAAAACTTTTAACTTCCTAAATTTTTAGTTTTTTTTAACACATCAAAAAAAAAAAATAATATATATTCAACTTTTACCACCAATTTGAAGGAGGGAGATGTGATCAGAAGTAGAAAATAATGAGGTGTTGCCCTCGTTGTTATTGTTTATTCTTGAGGGTGTGTGAGATCTAGTGTTGGTACCTTTTGGTGATTTTGGCCTACTAAGTTCGATATTAAAACCTGAATTAAATGGAGAATACCATTGTGTCTGGTTTCCCCAGTTAGTGTTGTTATAGTTGTAATTACTGTTATCATGGTTTGTTGTTGCTGGTGACGGTGGTGATGGTATTCTATTGTTATTGTAACATTGGTTATCATAGTAGCAGCTTTTATTACTATAGATACTGCTACTATTATTGTCATTCCTAGTATCGTGAATACCCATGTTATTACTAAAATTGTTGCCGTTACCATTACTATAACCGTAACAAATGCTATTGTTGTTATTATTGTTGGATGACGAAAGGACATCAGCGTATGTTGCAGTAGCATTATTATTATTAGTAAAGGTGGTGACGGTGTTGCTACTGACGGCAGGAGCATTGTTGAAATGATTTAATGAAAAATATGTGCTAAGATTATTACTATTATCAGATGGTGATTGTGATATTTTATTTTTGGAACTTGTTGCTGAGCTGTTGGTATACTTGAGGTACTTTTTTCGTTAGACATGATTTTATTGAATGATTGACTACGCACTCTATTATAATCATAATTATTGCTGTTATTATTGTTACTACTAGTTGCTGTAGTATTATTATTGTAACTATAACCACCATCATTATAACCTTTTGAGTTCCTCTTTTGTGATTTTTGTAGCTGGTCATTGTATTTTACGAATGAGTGATTTTCAGAAGCTGCAGCGGTTGTTTGATTATTATCTTGATTGTTAATCTGATTTTGTTGCTGGTTGTGGTGATAAGAAGAAAGTGAAGAAGATAACGGTGATGATGATGAATGATTTCTAGCGGTAATTTTTTCGTTGCCAGCGATGGTGTTATTAATATTTTTATTATTGTTATTACTACCGCCACCGTTACAAACAACATTGGAATTTTTTTCGTTGGTGATGTTAACAGATTGCTGATAACTTTTATCATTAACGTTGTTTTTATTGTTGTTATTATTTTGATTATTATTATTATTACTAGAAACATTGCGATTATTTGATTTTCTTCTTCTTTTACGTGATTTAGAACGAGATTTATGATTGTTATCATTATTACTATGATGATGATTGTGATTCTCAGAAGAAGTTGATTTTTGATCGGTGATAGACGAAGAAGAAGAATTATAATCGGTTGGTACAATATTTTCATCAATTGCCTCGGTCTTATTATTATCAGAAACATTTGGTGACGACGATGAATTAGAATGATTTCCAATGCTAGGATCGAAAACATTATGATTGTTAGCACCATTGACATTTTTGTTACTGTCATCTGTTGTGGAAGCAATATCAGAAGATCCTTGAACAGATTTGGAATCAGTGACGGTTAGTTGTTGCTGATCAGTAGTAGAATTGACCGGTAATGATGGATCAGTTGTTTGATTGATGATAGAGTTTGTAGATGAAGAAGATGATAAAGCGGTGATAGTTGAAGATGATGAAGTGCTCGAGGGTGATAAAGAAATCCTGTTCTTATTATTACCATCAGTATTTTCAACTATAACACTATTATTGTTGTTATTTTCTGATCCAGTATCATTGAAATTTATTGTAATTTCTTTTGTTATTATTTCTTCTTTTGTCGAAGATGGTGGCTGTAGCGATCGAGTTTGAGAAGAAGACGATGAAGGAGAAGTAGCAAGTGGCAATATAGCAGTAGATTTTGGTATTAGAGAATCATTTTTGATAAGGTCGACATCATTTTTTTCAATATCATTTGAATAGTTGACAGAAGCATTATTTGGAATTTTATCAGTGCGAGAAGAAGATATCAAATCAGTTTTGGTATCGGTTACACTGATTGTAATTATTTCAGATGATGAATCAAGTATAGAAGGTTGAGACGAAGGAGGCGTTGTTGTGGAAGATGAAGAACAATATAAAGATATTGGTGATGATATTGATGATGAAAGTGGTGATGATTTATTATGATTTTTTTGTAGTAGTGATGAAAACGTCGTAGATGATGACGACGACGACGACGATTTATCCGACAATAAGGGGTTAGCAGATATTAATGAAGATGCTATTGATGTTGACATGGATGTTGATAAATTTTGTGATGAAGATGAATTTTTGTAATTGTTGATTGTATCATTTACATTTGAACAAGTGGAAGTAGCATTATTTACATTATCAAAATCGTCAAATGGTGACGACGATGAATAGCGCTGCTTAATATCATTTCTAGCAGCTGATGAAGGTTGAGGTAACTTTTTTTCATTATGGTCACCAAGCACGGATCTAGTTGTGCGCGATTTTTGATTCTTTTTAAACAATAAAAAAAAAAAAAAATGGTAATGATTAGTTTTGTATATATATATATATATATATTTACAGTTACGTATTAATAATGTACACATTTGATATCATTTATCATAATAATTGAATGAATAAAGGAGGAGGAGGAGAAGGAAAGTTTTATATTAATTAAATGATAAAATTCTTGTAATAATAATAATAAATTTTTTAAACAAATTAGATCAATTAAATATGATAAATATTCATTCCAATAATATTAAAACAAGAGTTGTAGCAATAGTAATAATTATATACATACATATATAAACCAGACAAACATTAGCATTAACACAACGATCAACGTGAGAGACCACGGAGTTATTGAAACCACATTAGTAATAATATTCATTACTTCTAGTCGTGTTACATTAAACATTATTACTAAAACATATATTAAATAAAAGTAATATTATTAGTATTAATGTATAACAGTGTGTATATTTAAAGAGAGGAAGTCGGTTACGAGACAAAGAAATCGATCAAAGAGTAAAGTTAAAAGCATACATTGTAAATATTTTAGTCCTTTTTTTTTTTGTTGCCAATCGTTATTTTATAATTATTATTTTTCTTTATCTTAATTCCTAATATATTTTTTTTAATTATTTATAAAGAATTTGTTCATTTATTATCAAATTTTTTTAGTGTGAATGAAAAGAAAATTTTTTCTGGATTAATTCTTTAATCAGTGTATATTGATGAAGTTGGTAAAAAAAGTTCAATAAAGTATATGTGTCAGTCAATAGTTTTAAATATTATTTTGATTGTAATAACTAGATGATTAAAAGAATTTGTCGATTAGGTAATTGTGTAAATAAAATTAATATTAAAAAAATAAAAATTTTTTTTTGTTTAACAAACACATTTCCTAAATAGTTGATATCTACTGACAAATAAGGATAAATCAATGTCAAAAAAGAAGATCAATTGTATATAATAGCAGGCCGGACGCATACAAATTTCATATTTACAATTAATTATTATTATTATTCATTATTACTACGGGTGCGGCAAAGTTTCAAAAAAGAAAAAATTACCAGGTCCAAAATAAAATTCACGTGATTTGTATAAATTGAGCCAGAACTTGCACTTTTGTCAGATACTGAAGGTAAAATTGAGTTGTCAGACGATGATAACCCGATCCATCTTCTGAACCGATTGTTATTTCAGAACCATAAATTGTTTCATCCAGGAATCGTAATATCATTATTTATTTATTTACACATCATCAAAGACATCAAAATCTTGGTCTTTTTTATTTTCAATCACTAACTTGATAATTAGGAGGCATCGTAAGTTTTTGTTTTACTTTTCAATATCAGATATGGTATTAAAATATTTAAAAGAAATAATTTATTGAACGCGTTCGCGTAATAATAATTCGGGGTTTTCGTGGCGAAATTCCTCAAGAATAACATGCATTAAAAACAATAGAGCTCGCAACAGATAATTTTTTCTGGTACATTAAAGCTAGAGACCTGTTCTATAAAACAACAGTGAGTCAAATTCTTAGTTTCTTTAAAGTTGGTCAAGATTTAGGGAGAATGTGCGCGCAGTCACGTTACACGTAATATTCCACATATTAAATATCCCTCTCCGATTTTTAATATCCGATTTGACTATGAAACCTAATTCACTTCTGAAAATCATATTATGGCTGATCCATTATTTCTTTACAGTTAGATCGTCTATACTCAAAAGTTTAAAAAAAAAGTTCTCAATTCTAATTTCTTTTTTTAAAGTATAAATAAAATGTGTCACGAAATAAACATTATGTTGCACAAAATTTAATTAATCTAAACAATAGATGATCTGCATTGAATGATTCATTCATTACATGGGCGTATAATGGGTTCACAAAGTATGCACACACATCCAGTAAACAAAAAAGGATAATGGCAAAGAGATTTTTGAAATCAAATCATCATTTTGTTTATTTTAAGTAAAGCTATCACTGATGGTTCTTGGAGCGTGAGGTGTATCAATCTAATTGCTATGTTTGGGAAGGCAAATTGAAACATTGAAATTATTGAGATATACATATGATTTCCTAATTTGGAAAGATCCTCAGTAATTTTCAAAAAATTGAAACATTTAATTTGGAAAAAGTTTCAAAAAGGCGTAACAAATGTGTGCTAATACTAATCAAGTATGCAGATTTTAAAAATTTGTATGGTGTGCAGTCGACATCATATGTTAATTATTAATTATGAGAATTGATTTCCAAACTTGGGCTTATTTTCATCCTTGAATCATGTTAGTATTTGGTAAATTGATAACTTATTTTACGTTTTTTGGCGGAAACAGAATTAACATGGTCTTGTAATGGGCGGGTATGATATCCTTTAGCAACTGTGAAGTTATGCAATCTCATTTCAACAACCACCCAAACTATCCTGACTAAAATAAATGTGGACGAAACGATTTAAGAGAATGTCTGAAAAAGATTTTACAGATGAGGAGCAAAGTGCAGCTGCATCGGTTCTTATTAGCCAGGTCTGTAGATGTGCATATGGTTCCTTGTTAGCAAAATCTCGCTATATGATTGATTCCCTCGGTGCAATGTATAGCAAGATCCAATGATCAACATATCTTGGAAATTAGTTGTGGCGACTATCAGGAAAATTGTAAGTTTACATACACTATATTACCACGGGTACGTGAGTTTTATACAAATTAATTTCGGACGATGATGATTCATTTTCCATTTATGTTTGTTAGAACCAGGTTCAAAGGCTATTCTGGAACCTTTTTGAGAAGAAAACACGGCAACTACAGCAGATGCATGTATAATAATAGGCAGTGTATATATTTCAGGTCTAAGTTAAGCATATTAAATATATCTGACAACTGTTTAATATTTACTGATCTTTATCAAGTGTAATTTAATGATATTAATGGTCACTATGAAGAATTAGATATATCGATATCAGATTTATATATATACATTCATCAAGAATTTAATTAATAATTGGGTTTTTAAAATTAATTTATTTATATGAGCTACTTATTTATTAAATCTTTTTACATTTATTATTTATACTCACGCAAATCAACATATATACAATGTAGTTCTTATTATTAGGCTTTGGATGGTTATTATATTAATATACAACAAGATATTTTGCAATTTTTGCTGGAACTATTTCTAATTTCATTCATATATATACGCCATAGAGAGTTATTTTTAGATCAGAATATACATTGGGTTTCTATCTTAGTATGGAATTCTAGATTACTACTTGTCATAGGAGCTTCTTTTTCAATTAAAAACGACTTGGGTAAATAAATATATGGCAAGGGTTGGGTTGCACAATTCATAATTTTTGTGCAAGAATTAATTACACAATTATTATATAAAGCTTGGCTAATTAATACCAATAATAAATAAATAAGTATCGAGATTTTTTTGTTACTGGCCGCGTAACGATTCTTTGGGAAAAGAAAAAAGAATAATTATTTAATGCAATGTTGTTTGTTACATGCATAATATATAATCTATTGTTAATAGTGATATATGATAATTATTACAGTAATATCAACTAGAATGATTTGATGTTTTCTAATAACAATTTTCTAAAATAGTAATAGTTATTTCAAAGATATCACGGCGGTGATCATAATGAGATCGTGGAATAACTGGCTTATCTCATTATTTCCTAATTAATAAGTTCAAATCCAGATAAATAATTAATATAACTAAATCCTTTTTGATTGATTGAGAAAAGACGTAATGTTGCATACATACTTTAATAGCCGTAGAAATTTTGACGTTGTTTTCGGTTAAATTGATTTTTTCTTTAATGTAAATATTTTGATATAATTAAAAAAAAATTATTCATAATCCCAATTAAATAAATATGTTTTAAATGAATGAATGAATTAATTAATTAATTAACCAATTACCAATAATTACCAATAATATTATTCAAGCCCCTTCCGACTGTCACACTATCTTTCAATAAATCACTTATTGCATACGGAGCATGCAATGATGAAAAAATCAAAATGGTTGCCGAATTTAAAATAGCGGCTTCTGATTTTTTTAGTCATCATTGACGTAATTATTGTATGTTTCTGCATTCAATAACTCTAATTTATTGTACGCCCAGGCAGGCACGCAACAATGGAAATATTAGCATGTCATTTCATAAAGATAATAAATTACAATGATAATAATTTAATTACCAGATTACAATGCTTCAAAGACTTCAATTGTTTTGGTTGTGGCTCACTTTTGCTCTTCATAAATCACCATTATCTTGCATTTGGATTATAATGTGAATACGGCTTTGGTTAACCTAGCGAAACAAGATTTACATTAACATTAATATGATTATTAACCCCGCGTCTTATTATTAAAATATATAATTATACTTTCCGTCTGTCGCGATTTTTGTTAATTCTTTCGTTGCTTGCATGTGAATATCTTTGTCTTATGTATTGAATCATATTGATTACAATATTTATATAAATGATATTGTGCAAGACATTCGATATTCTTATCATTTTGAAAAATATATGTTTTATGAATAAATAAATCATAAAAACTCAATTTTGAGTAATTCTTTAAGAAAAAAAAAAAGTGTGAAAACTTTTTCAAGATAATAAATCTGATGTTCAAGTTTGGTGTCAGATTTATGAAAAATGTCCTTCCTCGCTTTATGCAGATCCCCTCCCGTAACACCCATCATGTTGGCGCGTCGGGTTTTCTAGGACTATCTAATGATGGTATATTGCCTTTTTTTGCAAAAAAAATTATTATTATTATATGGAATAAATTACAAAGTATAAATTTCTATATAAAATTATGAGAATCTAAACCTTACATTGCTTATACACTTCATTAGAACTATCCTATACTAATACCGAAGCTCCTAACATAACAAATGACTGAGACATCGTGTTGACATAAGAGAACTTTCAACTGGGTCTTTGATAAATCAAATCACCCGAATCCAATTCAATAAAATTCAAGGTCCTCCCATCCTCCTTAAAGAATATTCTAATCTAAGAAGATTCTAATGAATCTTCTAGTGAATATTCTATTGAATTTCTGTTGGATCATATTGTATAGGCCAAAGGTCAAATTAACGTTTTCTAATTAGAAAAAGACTGTCAGAATGTGTAATATTTTTGATTTTAGATTAGGGTTGCAATATGACGCAAAGATGGTAGCAACCATCGTCAATAGTTGCAGCCGGCATCCTATCAAAAATTTTGTATATTTAATATATTCCTTTGTGTTGGTTAATATCCAACAGGAATATCGCCTGAAATCAAACTCTGTAAACAGTAAACATCGCGTTATGTCGATCATCATAACAGTTGTAAAGATATAAATGGAACCAAATAGATATGTTACACTAGCCCCTATCCTTAATATTTGATCAATAGTATATTAGTATATAGTCAGCAATTAGAATATTTTGATGTTGAATTTCTATCACTGGTAAAAAAAAACATTTACCGCAAGTCAAATTTGATTTTTTATCTAATAATAATAATAATAATAATGCTAATGATTCTTTCCACCAGATCATTTACCAGAGATCTATTTTTTTTTGGAAAAGAAAAAATTAATTAATGCAATGTAATAGTAATATATTGATAGTAGTATATATTAATGGCAGTAACATAGAATAATTAAAAAAAATCTCATTATTAGGTTTACACATAGGTTGCCATCACATGTGGGGTGGAATTTGTGAAAAATTATTATATATGGGCATATTGCAAGTGAAAATTTGTACTGCCAAAATTTCAATGTTAAATTCTAATTCTGGTAACATCACTCCTCATACAGAATTGAGCTCTTGCGAAATGTAACTTGCCTTCTCCTAAGATACTATCTAAAATTCATTGAATGTCTAAGACAATACTGAAGGTAAGTAAATATCCCAACTTCTTCATAGGTTGCCACATATTTGGCAAGTGCTTCACAAAGTGTCCTCCTATTAAATCTTTCTGCTAATCCATTTGTTTGAGTATGATATGCCGATGATAATTTGTGTTTTATCCCCATCTCTCTGCATAATTCATCCAACATTTGATTAATAAAATGTGTTCCTTTGGTCAATTAATAATACTTTGGGGCATCTGTTATATCTTCATGGAAGAATTGTCCTACCAAAGTAATTTTTGCATCAAGAATCGGCTTAGCTTCTGGCTATTTAGTTCAAATACTCTGTCACTACCACCATGTATTTATTTCTTTCCTTCCCTCAGGCAATGGTCTAACATGTTCATTCCTAATCTGCCAAAGGTTGACATGCATCACAAGTTCAAACATATTCCCATACATTTGATTCTGATAATAACTTCCAGCAATCCTGTAATAGTTTGTTTCTATTCCAAAATGTCTTGCTAGCAAATCAGCATATAAGTTGTGTTATATTATTTCTACTTTATTTAATTTTACCACCTGAAGGGGATTTTTCCTATTCTTCTTGTGCAAAATTCCTTCTTTTATTATAAATATCTTGATTGATTTCTATTTTTTTTTTTTGTTCTTCATCCTTAGATGATTCTGGAAAGATTACTAGATCATAATCCAAATTTAAATCCATTTTATTTATACTTGTCAACAATTCTTCATGTATATTGTGATCTCAATATCTACACTGAACTGTAGTCCATCATTCTTCTTTTCTGCCAATGCCATTCCTGAAGCATAATCACTACTTGATTCACAAGTGAATCCAGCCCCCTGGATAAATTTTCTTCCCTTTGGTGAAACTCTTTGAGAATAATGTCTAATTGGTTTAGAATCCATCAAATCTATACTATGGTAAGTCATGTTAATCCTTCCAACATCTAACTTCTCCCATGCAAAGATAACATGATACTTGTATAACAAGTCTGTAAAGTGTTGAGTTTGTTTTTCATCAAGTCCTTTTCCAATGTCAATAATGTATTGGTTTGTTTTAACACCTTCTTCTTCTGAAGTTTCTATGTTTAGATTATAGGTTTGTAACTTCTCCTCCCAATTACATCTGCACCAAATACAGCAATGATGGTTGTGATGAACTTCTTCCCACGGGTATTGTCTTCCTCGAAAGATATGCCACTCCTCCTCCTTCATAGTTGTAAGTGGTCTCTCTTTATCATAGATATGAGTCATTTTCATAGTCAGTTTCTTCGATTTTTATAGAAGATATTAGCAAATTCATATGGTGTTGATTCAAACTTATATGAAATAATCCAATCAGGAATATTACATGATGAGTGAAAAGTTGTTTTATATTTTGTCCTGTCACTATCATTCTACCTAAATTATAAAATCTCAACAAATCAAATTAACTATATATCAGATGATCTATTCATCTGATTATTGGAATCTTCACATTGGTCTTTTTATTATCATTATAAGGAAGTGTCATATAGTGAATAAATAAGTAACCTCTTATCATCATCATCATTTTTTTTGTTTTCTAAAGCTGAATTAAAGCTAGTATTTTTTGCTAGATGCTTGTTTGCTTCATATTTGTTTGATATTTAGTATCACCAACATAACTGTTTATTGATTTATATCAACAGATAAACAAACACTAAACATGAATAAATATATACTACTAGGATTTTTATAATATTATGAAAAAAAACCATTTGTTCTAATTTTATTTATTTATTTAATATAGAAGCCAAAAAAAAAATAAAACAAAAGAAACCAAATGGCAAAAGAAAAATCCTCTATTTTATATTGACCTTGTCTCCCAGTCTGCCCCAACAAATAACAAATGAATAAAATAAATAT